ATAATGTGATACAAATATATATATAATTACTGTATATTAATGTAATACAAATCGCTGATCTATATAATACAAACTGCGAATCCTATGTAATACAAACTGCTGATCTATGTAATACAAACTGCTGATCCTATGTAATGCAAACTGCCGATCCCATATACTATTACTATGGTCACGTGACTTATAGGGACTAGCAATATAATGCCATAGCAATAAATTATAAAATCCTTAAAAAAAACCCAAATTAAAAAAAAAATAAAATAAATAAAGAAAAAAAATATAGGTGACCCTCCTTAGTATCAACTTCGTTAATATAAACCTCTCGTTTATCAACCTAAAATTTTAAAAAATTGAGTTCAAACCATATAAATTTTATCTTTTAGTTATCAATACTTATATATACCAACATAATTACACAGGTCGAATTTTAAAATTTCTACATTTTTTAGAGAGATCAACAGAATACGTCTGATAACTAACCAATTTTTGGCACATATTTTCACCTATCGGAAAGATAACGGCACCTATAGGCATAACAGATATCCAATACTTTTTAATGGAAGTATCTGATATTTGATATACCTATCTGAACCAATATCCTTCTGATAGGTGAAAATACGCGCCAAAAATCAGTTAGTATCAAACATATCGACGTCTTCTGATATTCTGCTGATCTCTCTTAGAAATGTTATAGAATTTTAAAATTCGACTTGTGTTATCTGATCCAAATGGGTTGATATCAACAAGGGTCACCTGTAATAATAAGATAAATAAAAAATAAAATAAAAAAGTAAAAAATAAAAAAATCAAGACAATTTTAATGCTCACTGGAGGTGATATTCACCGGGTATTAGTATGCTATTTCTTAAAGATGGCTTTGATAATCAACATTTGGTATATTAAGTAAAAATGGTCACTATACTAAAAAATCTTAACCGCTTATTTAATTTAAATCCTAAATCTTCACCCTAAAGTTTAATTTTTGTTTTAACATTTGAGGTAAAATTTTCTATAGATATAATAATAATTAAAATGCATATCATGGTGAATTTTACCTCTAGTGAAATCTAAATAAATTCAAAAATAAATTAAAAAAAAATTAGAAAAAGAAAATTATCCTTCATCACAAGTGCATTCTTTAATAAATCAAAATGTAACAAACGGTAACCAGGCTAGAGTTAAGCTAGGATTAGATTGATCCATGGAATCATAATCATGTTTCTTACAAATTACATGAAAACCATTTTACTAAAAGCTTACGCAAAATAACATAAAATTACATAAAATTATACAACCCTAATCAAGGGGTAGTAATGCATTTAAAGATGGGCAAGGTAATAATATAAGTAATAAATTACTTATTTTTTTTTTTTCCCAGAACTTATTATTACTAATTGTTACCTATGACGAATGATTATTACTTATTAGTTTTACAAATATAATCTGAAAAGTAAGTTTTGAAACTTAATAATTTGCTGATCAAGTTGCGTTTTTGCTTATATCGCAATTTTTTACTTATTATTACTTATTACGAAAAAATTAGAGAAATAATTGTAGTGATACAAATCGAAATCGAAATTAATCGATTAGTTGGTTAGTTGACAACTAATCAACTGAACTTTTTAGGCACCAACTAATCGATTAATCGACTAATCGATTAGTTGCAACTAATCGATTAAAAGAATTAATTGATTAGTTGCAAAGAATTGATTGAAAAATCATTTATTTACTTAATAAATTAATTGCAACTAATCAATTAATTGATTAATCGATCAGTTGCAACTAATCGATTAATTGATCAGTTACAACTAATCGATTAGTTGCAACCAACTGAAAAAATAATGACCAACTAATCGATTGATGATTTGTAACACTAAATAATTAGAAATAATAAGTAATAATATATTTACTAAACTTGCCCATCTCTAAATGCATCGCACTGGTAATGAATGATAGTTCTCTTTAAAAAAAAAAAATTTAAAATAATAAATTAAATTAATAATAATAATAAATAAAGATACTTGCCAATCAACCCGTAATTAACAGAAATTTTTGCCTTTAGCTCACTATGAAATAATTCCAGAGGATTAGTAGAAGTGATTTGAAGAAGAAGTGGTGAATGCTGGCGAGACCAGAGTGCCCATTGTCTTGAATTTTTTAAATAGTTTCTAGTGATATAATTTGCATTGGCTTGAATGAGACAAGTACTTATAGCATTACGAATGATATCTTCACATCCGGCTTTTATTCTTTTGTGCATGGCTTGAACCATTTTGCTGAGTATAAGGCCATAGTAAATATTTCTCATTCACGTTCGTATAACATGTACAGTACAAAGGAGAACATCGCACTCTTGCTCTCCTACAAATCAAAATCATTTGTGTTTTAAAAGTCTTAGAATAATAAAAAACTTTATTTATACTATATCTTTGCGTTTATAAAATTATATAAAATTATTTAAAAAAAAAAA